CCCCCCCCCCCCCCCCCCACACACACACAAGGGAGATGTTTCCACACACCCCTTCTCCCTCCCCCAGCATTTAAAAGCCCAAGGGTTGCCATCACACCCATTCAAGAGTGCAAGGGTGAAGTGACTCTCAACTGCTGCCTGTGTCCTGTCTGTTGGAGGTGTTGCCAGTCTCGCCTCTCATGCAAGCCAGCAACAGCATCAGGGCAGCCTTTGGATGAGGCCAGGTTGCAACAGGGCACCCTTTTCTGCTGCAGCCGTTTCCCTGTCTGGCCCCATGCAACATGTTCCATAAACAGAGATACAGCCATGCAGTTCCACCTGGTGGCAGCAGTGTGGCACCCTTAAAAAGGATCTTCTGGCACCCCAGGATGCCATGACACCTCATTTGAGAGGTGCTGTTAGACTTGTAAGCTGAGTGCTCTTTTTTTTCGGTAGTCTTTAGCATTCAGTAGCTGTTATTGATTTCTAAGACTAAAATTCTTGCATCTAAAATAAAGTAAATATTGTGCATGTTTAAGGTTTGTTTGAAAGCAAACGTGCTCTGATATACTTAACATTAAGGATAAAATTGTTTTGCAGGAACATATAAACCAAGAATCCGGTGTTATGATACCTATCAATTATCCCTGAAATTTGAAAGATGCTTAGATTCTGAAGGTAAGTAAATTGTTACTCCTACATCAGAAATAGAGGTGGTGTGACTTGATGTATGGGGCCCAAGGGGGAAGAGGAAGGAGGTAAAGAGACTTAGGTTCAGTTCTGCACTCTGTCAGTGACTCCTGTGGCTACATAGGCCACTGCTTTGTGCTTCCGCATTTGTAAAAGGGACAGTGTTACTTAACCATGGGGTTTTCAACCCTGGGGGTACTTGGGATGGCCTCAGGAGGTACTCGGCAGCGGGCACCGCTGGCACTTCTGCCACTGCTGTACTGCTGGCACAGTCACTGATCAGCCATGGAGGTGTCCCCTTCCGCCCCCTCTCATCATGCCGCTAGGGGACTCCTGCCTTCTCGACTGGCTACTGGGGGTACACTGACCCAAAAAGGTTGAAAACCCCTGATTGACCTGTCTTTGAAAAGCAGTTTGGACCTTGTGGAATTTTAAATAACGTATCTATAATTCCACTTACATATGGTAGAAAGACTGTGTGCTTTTATATTACAGTTCAGTGCTTCAGTGTCATAGAGAAGTAGGCCTGGAAGAGACCTCCAGAGGTCATGTAGTCCATTCCTCTGGCTAAGCAGCATAATCCTCATCCAAACCATCACATACAAATCACAGTCTAAACTCAACATACGGCTACCATCAATCCTGGCACAACATAGACCTAGCACCCTAATCTGACACAAGTAAAGCAAGGGTACTGCAGCAGCCAGTGTCCTGCTTCTATAAAATGTTCAGTGTTCCCATTGAAACCCAAAGTGGTGCTTGTATAAACTAGTAAGAATGCCAGTGTGTGTCATAAATCTGATAAATACCATATTTACTTGAATACAAGACATGGTCCCATTCCCCCCGCATACCCATTGGCATGGGCAAAAAAGCCCCTTGTCTTTTAGTCATATACAAGGAAATCTCACTAAATACATTGTTTATTGTTAAACTGCTGCTAAAAGCAGGTTCTGCTCAGCAGTAGAAACCAACTACAAAGTTGACTAAATGCAGTCAACACTGAGCATGACTACAAAACAGATGGCCCATATTGGTCAAACATACTAATTGGAACCTCTCTTTTTTTGTGTGTGTGTCGCCCTTAAAACAAAACAAACGGACAGGTATTCCCTCCACAGGGAACTGCACCAGGCCTACAGATACTATAGTACCTGGCTGTCACTGGGAGGGCCAGAGCCAGCCCTGACACCCACCCCTTGATGCCAAAAATGCTACATTTGATTTAAGCCAAAAAAAGTTGATGGTGATGGGCACCTACTGCAAAGATAGGTTAGTATAGATAGACCGTGTGAATGAGACACATGGTCGTGTCCATTAAGTGCTGTACCCCTCACTGCCAACTCTTGTTCGTGTCATTGTGAATGACGACAGTGCATACACTCTGACTTCCTCTTCTTTCCCACAGCTGGGCTATGCCTTTATTTCCCTTTTCCATTGATTCCTGTTTCTTCACCAGCCTTAAATGCCTGGCAAATGCCATGAAACAGGACCCAGAATCCCTGTCAACCCCTCTCTCAGCCTGGCACATGGTTTGTGTGGCTCTGCCCTCCATGAGCTAAAACGAGATCAGATTGCTCTGCTCCTCATCTGCGTACAAATTTCTGGAGCATCCTACGACTTGTGACAAGAACACTGGGTTCTGCTCATGAGTGGGGATTAATTAGCATGTGGATCCTTTGTGGGGCACATCTGCGGTATACACACATACTAAGCATCGCTGTGCTGTGGGGTCACCCTGAGTTCAAATGCTTTAGACTCTGGTGGGCCCAGCCCAACGAACTGTATTGTAAATCATGATCTTTTGGCTTTGGACTAATCTCACATACAGTTTGTACCACATATAAATAGGTGAGAGAACAGGGTCTTACAGTAGGAAGAGAGGGAAAGGGTGGCGAGGAGAAAATGGGGGAAGCAGAGGACAAAGGGGCTACCTGATTCCCCAGATTTATTTTCCCTGCGGTAGCAGTGGGAGGGGAAAAAATTCAGGACAAACCTCCAATAATTTGATTCTATACCTGGAGAACTATAATATATTTCTAAATTTTTCATATGTAGAATCTAATTAATGGAGGGTTATTTTCTATTCAAGTAAATACAGTATGCTTTGTGGCTGGTTGATTTGTTACTAAAAATTACAACAACAAAAAATCAAACATTTAATTAGCTGTCAAGGAAAGCATTACGTAGAGAGTAAAAATGATTGATTTCATGTTCCTGACTTCTTGGAGCATGTACTATTATAGTACAGTCTCATCAGTCTGCCTCTTTCGTTCACTAGAAGAACTAGAAGAGTCTAGTTACTGTCCTCAAAACTATATAAAACTTTTCTGATCCTTACTTTTGATATCAAGTGAAAATCACTAAAGTAGCAAGGTTTTATATACAGTTTATCTAATACAGTATAACCTCATAAATCTGGTGTGCTTGGGACTGAGCACCTGCTAGAAATTTGAAAATGCTGTATTTTTTTAAACCGGCGCAGCAGCCAGTTGCGGGGGGGTGGGGAGGAGCAGTGGCCTCACACTGACCAACGACCTGGGGTTGTGAATGGCAGCAGCAGCTGCTGCGTGCAAGCTTCCTCCTCTGCGTCCGGGGAGGGAGGGGGTGGGGAAGTGCCAGATTTTTGGTAATTCTGGATTTTTGATATTTGGATGTATGAGGTTATACTGTATCATCAGCCTTAGGAGAATTTGAAATTAAATCATTTAATTAAAAGTTAGGATACTAATTTAGCATATTAACTTTACTTTTGCTATATCTTGAGCCCTTAACTATGCGAAGTTGTTCGTGAAACCTTAAGAAGTATTTTTGTTTATTCATGGTAATTGGTGATTACAGACTAGTTTCCAGTTGGTGTGGAACCTTAGATCAGTGGTTCTCAACCACTGTCCTGCATACCTCTTTCTGGGAGGAGTTTGTGGGAATGGACTGGGAAATTTTGCATGAAAAACAGATGCTTCTGCCTACTTTAGGTTTATCAGAGAACCCTAATGCCAGCCACAATACGTGCTCCTGCCACAGCTCTTCCTGGTCTGGCTCCCCATGAGGCACAAAGGGCAGTTCCACCTGGTTGTGATAGTGGCTGAGAACCAGTTAAATAAACTGAGGCACTACTGTAGTGGTTCTTAACTGTGGTGACACCATATTCAAAAAAAGTTACACAGGAAAGCCATGAATCTAAAAAAGTTATGAGCCACTGCCTTATGCAGATTCTCTCTATATCTATAAATATATAATTTGTCTACCCATACTAGACTATAATGATTCTGGTACCTGACCTAGCTAGTTTTAAGTTGACTCTGATAGTTTGCTATCTGCAGACATGTTAAAATATCAATGTAGATATGCTAGAGCATTGTGGTTAGGAAAGCGTAGTGTATGAGGATAATTAAAAGCTAGAAAATGCTGCATGTTTCTAACGTTTTAAGAAAGTATGTAATCATGTTTCAGAGAGGCTGTGCAGTTACAAGCATGTAAATTGCTGAATTCATATTTGACTCAAGTTGCTAGGGAATAATCACATATGCAGGTGTGTTCAGGCTCTGTGGCAATGTTTGTAAAATGTATGTTCACGTATGTGATTCTTAAAATTTTGTCTCTTTCCCCCTAGTGGTTACATTTGATATTTTATCAGAGGATTACTCAAAGGTATGTTTAATATAATTTTTTTTTCATTTCAATATCTAATTAAAGAACAAGAAATTATTTTAAATGTCTGTATGTCAAAGGAACCACCTGTCCACACACTTTTTTGAGAGACATCTTGTTCTTCCAGCAATTGATGAGTTTTTTTTAAAAAGTCCTTAGGAATGTTCTTTAAAGTGTATCTTGTTTTTTGTTTGTTTGTTTTTACCACTGCCTGTCATTTAAATGTCTTTTCTTGTACAGTCAGTTGACTTAAAAAACAGTGAAAGCAAATCATAAAGGTCAGTCACAGCCATAAAGTTAAATTGTAGCAGGAAAAAAGCAGAAATATCACCCTTTCTTTTTTTCCTTTTTTTTTAATAATTGCAATAATTTAATTACAGTTACTTAACTACAAATAATTTTGCGAATTGACTCTTCTTTCAAATCTGAATTTAAACTCCTGATTAATCAAAGATATAAACTTAAAGCATGTGAATGACTTATTGAATTAATTGCTTCTACCCTTGTGTTTAAAGATAGGCACTGTGTATTTGTATCGTGCTGAACCGGCATCTTGTCATGTAATTTCTGGACTAACTTCCTAAGACAGAAATCTGCTTATGGGATGCGTAATCCAATGGCTTTTCTAGATGATGGTTGTATTCAGTTTTGCCACTTGCTGGTTTTCCAACAATAACTGTATGTGCTCAATAACAAATGTCCTTTTGATACTTACCTGAAATGGGATCCAAGTTTTCATTAAGCACATTAGCTGTACTACTGGTTTGCATTACTCCGTTCAGCAGAATTTTTTTAGTTTTAAGCACTTAGAAATTCTAAGTATCATTGAAAGCAGGCAAAGAGGTTTCTGCAGTGTAGGTCTGGAGTCAAAAACCAAACTAAGTGTTAGGATGCTTGAAGAATTGGATGGCGTATTATATAATGCTGTTATATAATCAGTTATGCAGCTGCAGTATTGTGTGCAGTATTAATTCCACGGCAACAAGGGATTTGCAGAATGATGGGAAATCTTTCCTGTAAAGAGACTTTGAAAAGTTGGGGGTTGTCCTCCTTTATGCATTTCACTTCTAAAATAAACATGATAAAATACTGTTTTAGGAATATAAATTTGGAGCTTCTGTTCTTCCTTTTTCATAACACTGGAACAATTAACTATTAAACTGAATATGGCAAATTCAAAGCCAGTAAGAATAACTTTTTTGCATAGTGTCTAATTGGACTCTGCAGCATGCTATCACAGGTGACGGTTGAGGCTAAGAATATAGCCAGTTAGAAAGGGATTGACAATTTATATGGATAAGAAAAATATTTAGAATTTGAATATTTATGTATGTTTTATTATATAAAACACAAATTATATATCTTTATATTATCTATACATTTTGTGGAGGTTGAAGCCATTTGGAAAGATCTCTGTTAAACTCTGCAAAACTGCTCTGTAGAGGTAACGTAACAGGAGACGTGGGCTAAGTAAATCATTATTTCTAATTTAATACAGTGTTAATTTAAAAAATTCATTTCAGTTGATTTTAAGAAAAAACTGCTAGTTGGCAATGTCACTGGAGTTTTTTTTAATGAAAATTGTGATTGCAGCGAGAACCTTGATGTTTAATCCTCTCTGGTTTGCTTTCAGATTGTGTTCTTGCAGTGCGACAGATATGTGGAGTTTCATTCTCAGCATGGCCATTATTACAGGACAAGAATACCGAAGTTTGGTAGAGATTTCTCTTATCACTACCCATCATGTGACCTGTATTTTGTTGGAGCAAGGTATGATCAAGATGGAGTTGTCACTTTTCACTTTGCTTAGGTCTGTGTTTTCCAAGGGTAAGGTGAGGCTAACAATATAGGATGAGGAGAGAATGTGTGCTTTATTGGAAAACTTTTCAGTTCTTGCTCTTTAGTGAAAAGTAGATAGTGTTGATAGAAACTCCAAGGAAATTAAATAAGTAAACTGAATACTTAAGTCCTAGATTTCTGAGTCTCTACCATTGGATGCTGCTTTACCTGAGTCCATTATATCTTTTAATAGTTGTCAGACTTGATGTATTGCCATTTTGAATGAAAAAACAGTATTTTAAATAGTAAATTAAAATAGTCACACATTTTAATATTTCATTACATCTGAAAATAATTCAGCTTAGTAAAAATATGCATTTTCCTGGGCCATGTACATTTTGGGAAATGGAAGCCAAATGCAGGCTTCAAATTTCAACCAGTTAAATTTTGCATTTTATTTTTTAATAAAGAAGTAAAGATAAAGAATTAATAAAGACAATTTTAATAGAAACTTAAAAGAAATTTAATAAAATAATTTCTATGCGAATCATAGAAAACAGTAGTAAAGAAAAAATGTTTCTTTGCCTGGGCAGGTGTAATTGTTATAGTATCATTAGTGTTTCTGATAATTTTCAGTGACCAGCTTAGACTAAGGGAGGACAATGGGGCATCTATATACATGTATGACTTGTGCTAATTTGAACACTTCAGCAGCCTCAGTTCACATATATTCAGCATCCCTGTGCTTCAAAATGGTGGTGGGGGCATTTTAACTGAAGCTTGTCGAATGGGCTTTAGTTAAAGTGCCCCGATGCTGTTTTGAAACGAGACACTGAATACACAAGATGCTGCAGGTGCTCTAATTTAAAATGGCTCCTGAGAGCTGCTTTGATTAAAGCACCCCTCCCTCCACCACTGCCACCCCAGAGCATGTGTAAAGATGCCCTTAGAGCTGGAGGGGAAGGAGTTTTCCTAGTCAAGAGATCAAAATCGTACTTTCTTTAAATTTGAGGTCTTATTTAAAAAATGTCTTGCAGCCTTCTCTAGCTTAAACTTTATTTTTCATTAATGAAGGTGAAATAGTAACTTCAGATTTTATTTTGCAGTTCTGAAGTATACAGGTTAAATCTGGAACAAGGAAGATTTTTAAATTCACTTCAAACAGATGCTTCGTAAGTACAATTCATCATGTTTAGATTTATGCCAGCAGGTGGAGCCAAATGACTAGTATGTTCACTATCAATTAATTGGTCATGTAGACAGAATCCAAAACCAGGTTAATGTAATGTAAGTTTTTAATCTGACTTCATATCTTTCTTTAAAATTGATTTAAAATGCCTTTGAGTTTATTTCTGTGGATATTTTTCAAACTGCTTTTATTTCTTTAGAACAGATTATCTCCTGGTTACTATGATTGTGTTAGATGCATCCTCAGTATTCCCAGTCAGACTCTCCTATACTAATTGATTCAATGTCATAAGTGGATCTTGAAGAGATTTAAAAGGAACTGATGATAAACTTGAGCATCAAGCAAAAGGGACAATATGGAAGGGGTAGACAAGTAGGCAGTTAAGGCTGGCCTTATTGACAGGATGGTAAAGGGGGGAGCATGTGGCAGTGAAAGTTATTGCTAATTATTCATGTGTCAAGTAATTGTGAGTCATTAAACTTATACTTCTTTCTATTCTAGAGAGAATAATGTCTGTGACATAAATCCTGTACACTGTTTGTTTGCAGCTGGGTCAGCCGAGGTAAATGAGGTCTAATTCTTCTAAGAACTATGGCATGGTCACTTGTTCAAATACAGGTCACAGAACTAAAATGTGATAGAGCCAAGTATTAATTCTTGCTTAGTAAAAGTAAGTTTACTGAGGCCTAGGGCAGATGGCAGGTTTCAGAGCACAGTGCAAACAATTTGTCGGATTATGTTGGGTGTAGAGATGACCTAGACTTTTATGGCTGACAGAAAAAAAATATTGTATCACTTTAATATATTAAAAACTGCATAAACTAACTAGACTGCACCCATCTATTGCTATTTTAGAATTCATATTTTTAAAGTTTAAAAAATGAGTATGCATTTTAAAATATATATGCTGTGCTATCATTTGAACTGTTCATGCTCGGGTCTAATTTTGGAAATTAGAGATCAGTATATCAGGTGCTCTGTAGTCTTTTGTTTACTGGCATTTTGAGTTGCTAAATTTCATTATTTACAGCTTGAGTTAATGTTCATTAATCGCTTTATGCTGTTCAGGGGAAAGTAGAATGCTGGGACCCTAGAACAAGACATCAGGTTGGAGTGCTGGATTGTGCATTAAGCAGTGTGACAGCAGATACAGAGTAAGTAAAGGCTTGCTTTTTAGTGTATACTTGTTCTTCTGAAAAATTGTGTCTTTAAGGGCTCAATTCTTGTCTGTGGTTCTACTACTTATCAGTAGTCCAGTCCACAGAAGTTGTACAGGTATGGGATTAATTCTGGATTTGGAATTTTTGTTACCTGTTTATTTGGTCTGACAAGCGATGACTAATTCTTAAAAATGTCCAGACAGAGGGGTAAAGGGTGAGCATTGATATTTCTGAAAGTGGTTGGAATAATTGTATAATTATGAACATTTACTTTCAGGATAAATGATTTACCATCCATTTCAGCATTAAAGTTTAATGGAGCTTTGAATGTGGCGGTTGGAACATCCACTGGACAGGTAGATATGCTGTTGGCAACCAATTTGAATTTGGAGATTTTAGGAGAAACTGTTCTTTTTATCACAGACCCAGGTCTCTGCATACTTTGAGTAGATTCTCTGTGAAGCACACGTGTACTAAAGGAGGAGTCAGTTATATACATGTGAACTTGATTTTGACCTAGTAGCATGAGAGAGTTACTGGTTTCATTTTG